AGCTACTGGGAAGCTTGGTAGTGGTATATGCTTAGAAAAGATTAATACTGAGGTTTGATAAACCCTACTGAAGAGAATCCTTGTAGAACGCTCAATTTATATAAGCGTGGTTTAAATATTGGATTCATCATTTTTTTTTTTTTTTTTTTTTCCTTGTAAGGATTGTGTCAGATTCGTAATTAGCAGCTTAAAAACTTTTGAAAATACGGTTTTTTTATAAAAATTAAAACTTATTAGACTTTTTCGTCTTCCACATTGTATCCACCATAATTGATTTTCAAAATCTGATGATGGATTCGTAATCACTTTCTTCCGAAATTTCTTGTATACAAACATTTTATGGAAATGGATTCATATTAATACTATTCTAGCATTATCTGCGGTCCTACACTCATAAATATGGTAATATGTTTGTATGAGTGATGTATGTGCATGATCGAGTAAAGCCTATCAGGCGATCTTGCAAACGAACTGCTGGCAGAATGTGGCAGGTTTTAGAATTTATACCTGCACGGCTTACAGTTAGTTGCGTATTACAGTTAGTTGCGTATTGGATGCTGCGAGCGTAAGACTAATGGATATAAAAGTCCACTCGTTTCTACATGTAAATGTGACGTTTCTACATGTTAGTACAAGTAATACGCTATCTTGATGATCTTGTGCGGATAAAAATCTCTTTCTGTCCATTCACTGTGTAAAGGTGTTGTAGTTAGTAAAACTGCAAATAAAGATATTAATTGAAGGGTACTTTCTCTCTTAAACCGTAAAATACAGTAAAACGCTGAGTTACATCAACTTCATTATTTATTTACGTGTGTAGTTTTTTTTACCAATTTACAATTAACTATTTCATAATTGTTAAAAAAAATGTGGTGCTTATTCTTAGGGAATATGAAACACAACCCTTTAATGCTGAAATCACTATAGATAACTTGCACTTTGCACGAGAAATAATAATAATTTTGTTTTTTAAAAAAAGTATGAAGTTAAAGCAAAGCTATTTAGGAAAAAAAGTTTTTAGAAGTTGTTATTATAGGCTGCAAATACTATCTTAACAGGGAATTGAACTGATACAAAATAAGTATTTCTTATTTTTTTATCTTCTATAATGGGATAAAAGATTACTTTTAAATAAACCAATTCAATTTTTAAATACATCTACAAGGTGTTTTTTTTTAATATTACAAAAAAAGAAGGTTTGAGTATGAGTAAAAGCGTATATGTAAGTACATCCATATGAGAAAAATAATTGCCACCGTTGCTGCATATNTTATTATAGGCTGCAAATACTATCTTAACAGGGAATTGAACTGATACAAAATAAGTATTTCTTATTTTTTTATCTTCTATAATATGTTAAAATTTTAGGAAAATTGGTGGCGGTCTCCTTGGAAGTTTTTTTTGTAAAATAATCACCTTGAAATCTTAAATTCTTAAAAAGTTCATTTTACTGTCAATGACAGTTTTAAAATGCAGTAGATTTTGTAAGATGCCGTAGAGAGTAACTTAATTATATGGTCTAAGTTTATTTTCTAGTAGTATATATGTTCAAGCTTATATAACCTGAAAACCGAATGTTTTAAATATTTAAAGATTATTTTATTCTCAATTTACTTTGTTACCGATATGGTTCAAGGAATGCAAGAAACAGAGTTTTATAATATATACAAATAAATCTCGTAACTTACTGGGTTTTAAATTTGATCGCTTAAAGCACGCACTACGCTGCAAATTAAAGATCTTAAAGCCTATTACTTCCTTAGTTTTATACTGATGAATGGTTAAAGTATCTTACATACACGATTTTATAGTTATAAATACTTAATTAAAACCTTTATTTTACTAAGTTTTTATGTTGTAAATACATCGATCATTCATCTTACTGAGTTTTGTAGTTATAATTTCTTGAAACTCATAACTTACTAGATTTTAAAATAAAAAACTGAAAGTATAAAACTTTCTTAAGTAAAATTTTAACTTACTGGTTTTTGATGTTAAAAATATTCAAAACATGGATTCAATATATTTGGTGGTAACAGATGATAGAAAGATGTTTATAGATACTTAAAGTTCGTATCTTACTGATAAATGCAGTCTAGTTTTTCCTTGTGTACGTAGTTGTTTTTTCAAGAGATAAGTAAAGAGTAGCAGAGTTACGTTACTCGTTTTACTAATTAGCATATTAAAAAAATAAAGAGAGGATTGCATAGGATCCAGTAAAAGAAGATGCCTCGGAGCTTAGTAGTTACTGTCTGGATATCCTATTCTAGATGCCTTCAACTAAATGTAGGTCCACTACATCTAGGTAAAGTTTGTGCAATATAATTTTATGTTCTTATGCTATATACATATTTGTGAAGTAAGCTTTATCTGATGTTTGGCTCGTCTTTTCAACGTTGCACGATTGAGTACAAAATATGTTTCAGAGTCGGTTTTCTTTAGATTTGTGATCTGAAATTTTTTATAGTTTTTAGTAGGATCTCATTTTTACATGCTGAGTTCAAAATCACGATGTGCAATTTTGTATAGCTTTTAAAAAGACCATGTACCTAAATACTATGCCACTGCATCTTAGAAATTTGGAATTTTTACAAGGCATTTATTTAAAGAAAATTCGAATTTGTAGAAAATTATGAAAGTGATTGATAAAAGAAAATCATACTTTTTTAAAACTTATCATACCGTACTGGTTAAAATAGTTTATAGTATAATAATTTCATTTTACAAATACTCATTTGCAAAGTTTTCGCGTATGCTTCATCCTTTACTACCGCCCTTGCTACTTTTTCTCTAATTACTCTCCTCTTTCCCCAAGCATGCGAACTTTTTGTTCATACTCCTTATAAAGTTTCCTTTAGACAACTGGTCATCCATTTCACTGGGTACTATTCACATAACACAACAATTATTTACTAAGTGTAATAAAAATATTTATTCTAGTAAACCATCTCATTACTCATTATACTGATCTTCTTGAAACCGATAGTGACTTTAACGATGAGGTGGCGAGGTGTAAAGAGATTCCTTGAAAGTACATCCATGACCTTGTATCTGCTATTCGTCTACAAAATTAAATAAGTGGTTTTTTAGTCACGTAACTATCTCATGCAAAAGACATTATTCGATTAATGATACTTTCAAATGAAATTTTACTAAGCTGAAAAGTTGCGATCTCTGTGAAACGTACCTTATAACAAAAATAAAAACAAAAGTGAAAGGTTATGCAAATTCAAGGGTTACTTAAATTTTTTTTAAAGAATTTCTTAAGTTTATCCATGTTGTCGATAAATCAAATTTATTTAAATAAGTAATCAGTCTTGCAAAGTTATAAAATATAAGCTAATATAATGTCAATTTCTTTCGAGCAGCGCAATTTCTGCATGACACTTGTATTCAGTTTGAACGTTATATTTATTGCGCTACATTTACATCCACATTTTTTTTCTTACAGTAGTAACGCTTTTCTTATCTCTACTATCTCTTTACGTGCAAAATTAAAACAAAAACTTTGGCCTGTATTAAGCTTATGTTTATATTTTCTTAACCACTAGCTATTTTCACTGTATTATTTCAAAGTATAAGCCCAAAATGCTTATGCCATTCAAATTCAACTGTTCTGCGCAACAGTCAGTCAGCTCTACGGACACTGTTGAGAACGCTTCTCTCACAGCGAGCATTTATAATTAATTTTCTGTTAATAAATTTGCACATAGTTTTAAACAACGTGATAATTTATTAACCCGTTTAACTGCAACCAGCTGCAAACCTCTTTAAATGTAATAATTACACGTTGGGTCATAAGTATGTAAAATTATCAGGTCAATATGATAATGTATTTTATGTGAGGTCTACTTTTATAGTCTAAAGTAATAAGTATTTAATAAGATTTTATGTATACATTAGCGGCCCTGTCTCAGCTTCACCCAAAATTTACTGGGTTGGGCAACCTAGTGTGTTTAAAATATTTTCAGTTTATTGGTATTTCGAAATTCGGCATCCATTCTTTACACCTTTTAAAATAAGAAAAATGCTTTTAGAATAATTTTTTGTTAGAAATAAATGCACTTGTGATTGAACAACAAGCTTTAAGAAAGTAAAAAAGTTATAATAATGATGAAAAGTACTGGACCTTCCTTACGCTACAAAATAGTTGTTAACAAAAAAATTCGTTAATAACTATCTCACCTAATGAATTATGGAAAGGTGTGTTTGTCAAAGCTGCCAAATTGATGAAGAATATATAGTTGAAAACTTTTTTTTTTTAATTAAACTTTACCACCAAAGCAACAGAGTCATGGAGTCTCATCTTTTAATTTCAGTGCCACAATAAACACAAATACAAATTATTCCACCTATTTAAATAGCTGGAAAATTTGAGTAATCAATGTCAGTCTAAACTTTTGTAAGTCTCGAGGGCTGTTTTCTACAAACGTTTTAAAGTTGTCATATATTTGTTAGCGAGGTAGTTTGACGTTAGATGCCCCTAATAACAACCGATGAGCTACACTCTTTCATGACTGAAGTTTCCAGCAAACGTAACTGCTTGGACACCTCAGGGTGTTCTTCTCGTTGGCCTGTTATTATAGCACCAGACTGATCGAAAGGAAAACCACAACGCTCTGAAGCGTTGGAGCAAATTGTAGTGCTCTTTTTTAACGTCATCTGGTGTTATGCCAGAGCCGTTGGCGTCCAAAGCACCTTCTATTTTCGTGAAGCTCAATTGTTTTGGTGATTCAAGGTCGAGAGATTGGTTTTTGACGCTTACCTGTTGGAGGCTGTCCCGTTTACTCAAGTTTATTTCCCCTTTATAGCTCCACTATTAGATTTGCCCAGCGCAGACCTTGGAGAGGGTAGATGATTTCAGGTTGAATGCTTAGAGGCAAGAGGGTAATACAAAGTAGCTGGTGTTAAGGATTTCCACCTTCAACATAAAGAACTGGGCTCGTGACAATTGCCAGTGAACGACTCATCTGATTTTAAAAGTTTTATCTTTCGTCCAGATTTACGTAGTCTATTAGTAAACGAATTGCTGTTGGAATTGGTTTTAAAAAATGTGAAGGCTTATGATGGCCTTGAAAAAGCCAGTGGTAATACTTTCAGTTATAATCTGATAATATATTTTCCTAGATGTAGCTGCCCGATATACTAAGGGTTGTTCTCCATGTATTATTTTCAACAGTGGAAAGCTGGCTACGAGCCGTTGAAGTGATAAACTGTAGCTGGAATTCTGTCAGTGGCACAGATATACTGCTCGACTGGGCTCAGTTGACTAGAATCGCGGAGTTTGGGTATTTAGATCTGAGACAGCTTGAGTCTTATCTGCGTATGGAGAGCGGGCTGGAGAGAGGTACGCCACTGGTCATAAAATGATTTATCTTCCAGCGATTTTTTGGAAGATCCACCACTCACCTTTGGTCGGAGAAGTGGGCCTAGAGAATACTTTTTTCGTGGGTACGAGCTACTGAGAAGGAAGCTGATGTTATTTCTAGCAGATGTAGCTGACTAAACTCCTTAGGGCAGTTTTACCTGGCCTGCTGTTTCAGATAGAGGTTATTTGGCAGCACTAGGTTTGACGAAAGAATGGATACGACGCTCTGAAGCGTTGGAAATGGTTGTGCTCTTGACCAACGTCTCTTGGTGTTACGCTAGGGACGTCGTTTAGAATGCCTTTTTTTCGTCTCACTTAGTTATTTTGGTGACTCAAAGTGAAGGTTGAAGTATACTGCTTGCCCATTGGAGATAGTCAGAGTCGAAAAGGTAGTAAAAGTCGTTTGTATCCAGAGAACATTGTTTCGTGACAAATAGCTCCGTTCTTGACGTCTGGCAGTTAACGGCTGTGGTAATTCATAATTTTTTGGGACTATTATCGCCAGACTCAACAACTCCTATTACAGGTGGACGACGCCATCTAGTTGGTTCCTACTGAAATACAGTATAAAGATAGAATTTTTTTTTTTAAACTTTGAACTTATTTTTTGCTATTGTTATTTACTTTTTCAAGGAAAAAACTATTCCAAAACCATCCAGGAAGTATCAAAAAACAGTGTACAAAATTGTACCAAAATCGGGAGAGTAGTTTTCTTGGATAGCGATTACAACGTTTTTTGGGGCTTTACTTTATAAATTAGTGATACTTATATTAGACAATATACTGCCACAATTGTCATACCAAAAGTATGCTGTGCTATAAGGAAAATAGAGCTTGACTTTTTCTAGACTTTTATTTTACATTTTTGCAAGGGTGATAATTAATTAAAAGAATATCATTTATGTCCACCGCATAACAGCTTTACTAGTTCCTAAGAAAATTTTTAATACAATATATCTAACTTACCTAACCATTTATTTTGTTGCAAGGTAATGTTTGTATGGTTTTTAAACTGTGAAAATCACAAAAAAACTATTTTTTTTAAGTTAGAAACTACTTCCTACTACTTGAGTCAAGATTAAACTGACTTAGGATGTATTAACTTTATGATCTGCATTAAATAAGTCGAAATGATTACATGTTAAAAATATAAATAACAAGCATTCATGCTTAACTTTGAAAGGATTTTTAATTTATAGGTGTTAGAGCTGCTCCTCTTTGGGATAATTCTCAGCAACAGTTCGTTGGAATGTTAACTATCACTGACTTTATAAAAATTCTCCAAATGTATTACACAAGTCCATCAGTTACAATGGATGAATTAGAAGAACACGAACTTGAGACATGGCGGAGTAAGTGTTAAGTATTCTTATATAAATATTAAAAATTAGTCTTTTAATAAGCTGTCTTATTTTTGATTGCTCCCCATAGAATAAACAAGTAGAAAAGTAATTGATTAATTATTACTTTAAAAATCCATTAGTAAGCATGGATTCTATTCCTTCCTAAAATTGTTCATCCTTTAGAAATGTTTCTCAAAAATTTTAAAGCTACGTAATTGAAAAATTAAAAGATAAGATCTGACTGATTCTGTAAGAACTACCTGATGTATTGTTTTGGACCATAACATTAAGTACCTCGTTTTATAAAGTTGAAAACAATAACTGACAAAACATTAAACTATAACTTTTTTCAATGAATATTTATAGATTTAAAATACCGTTAATGTGTTTTTTAAGTTTTGTGTGTGTCTGAGATACCTTGAACTGTTCAATAGGAAATCAAAATAATTTTTTATAATCAGCTTGCTTAAACAATGTAAGATTTAAAACATTTTCTATTAAATTATGCTTAAAATTGCAAGTTTTTCTCAATCACCGTAATGTTTCTGTATATTTTTGATGTGAAAAAGTGTGAGACTCATGCAGTACGATATGTTCTATCGATGGAATATCATTTAGAAGTGCAGGGGCTGAGAGCTCATGGATACACAATAAAGCTTAGAAGACCCTTAAAGTCAAAATGAGACATCTTAATAAAAGTGTGTAAGTAGAGAGTCAGTTGTAGAATTTTATTGAAAGGTAATATAATTTTTTTGACGTAATATAATCAACAATTTGAGATTTTGATCGAGAAAAAAAGTGTGACGAAAGTAAATTTTGCTTCGTTCGCCCCCTTTCTCCTCGTCCTGCGTGCCGTACTTTCAGTCCCCTCTACATCACATGACGCCACATCACAACTCCACGCCACACACTTTCAATTTCACGAATTTTATTTTATTTTTTTTCAAGTGATTCTAAACAAAACAATATTAAGAATTTAATTACTGCATCCTATGGTGTGGTTTGTAATTTGTTTTTTATGTAAATTTTTATTTAATGAATATTAATTTAT